GGTACTGAGGCTAACTCTACTGTGGTACTGAGGCTAACGCTACTGTGATACCGAGGCTAACTCTACTGTGGTACTGAGGCTAACTCTACTGTGGTAAAGTTACTGTGTCGGTGAGAACTTGTTGGTGTTACAGAGCAATTTAAGGAAACAGGATGAATATACTGTACTATACTGTACTGTACTATACTGTACTATACTGTACTGTACTATACTATACTGTACTGTATATAATATGTAATACAGCTGTGTATTACAATAGATACGATGTACTGTATATCACGATACAGGGGCAAAGAAAAGAAAAAGAAAACGAACACCAGGAAAATTGGACTGGGAACTGGTGAGAAAAAAAAAATCAGTAACTGATGTGATGAGATAAATCTTCAGTCTAACAACGTGTTCTTACAGCCCTCATACACAACTATCAATATGCAGGTAGACGTATTACTGTGATAACCTGTACTTCTTCAGGTCCAGCAGCAGCCAATCAGAACACGCTGCTGCTCCACAACACAACCTCATTGTTTGTTTTTAAAAAAAATTTTTTTTTTTTAATTTGGGTCATGACGCAAGTCTGGAGGCTTTGTGAAAACGTGTGTGTGCAGGCATACTGGTGTTAAACTGGGTGTGTGTGTGTGTGTGTGTGTGTGTGGAGATGATGAGTGTAACAGTCAGACAGGAGTCGACAGGAAGCTGCTAAAATGTTCAGCCACCAGGGCCGTCCAAAGATTGGAGTTAATCTAAGACTAATCACAGGGTCAGACACTAATAATGATGATTAATTGTGACTAATCAAGTGACATTTCTAAATTAATTCCTAAATATAACAAAATAGTTTCCATGTCAAACCAGAACTCTTTGACAGCGTGTGTCAGAGTTCCATCTTTGGTTCTGTTTTTTTTATACTCAGATTCTTTGACTCCTGTTTCCTCACTGGGCTCACAGTGTGTGTGCGGGTGTCAAACTCAGGCCCGCAGGCCCAATCTGGCCCATGGTGGAATTATATTTGGTCCGTGAGATCATGTTAAATGTGTATCAGAGCCGGCAGTGGATGAACTACATCGTATCACACACATCTGTGGTTGGTTTGATGTTGGAAAGAAGAAAAAACCGGTGCGTCTCCAGGAGGGGAGCTTACCTCTATGCTAAAGTAGCCTCGGTCCACGTAGTCGCCGAGGAACAGATAGCGAGTGGAGCTGGGGGAACCGCCCACCTCGAAGAGCTTCATCAGGTCGAAGAACTGGCCGTGAACATCGCCGCACACTTGAACAAAGACAGAGGATCAGTGAGCGTCAACGTTAGCGCTGAGTCCGTCCGTCCGTCCGTCCGTCCGTCGAACGCCCCGTACCTGTGATGGGAGCCTCCACCTCCAGCATGCACTTCTCCTGGCGAAGGATGGCGGCGCCGTCGTTGATGATGCGCAGCGCCACCTCCTCCTCCAGCCTCCCCTCCTTCACCAAGTGGGCCTTCAGCAGCTCCACGCTGGGCCGTCCATCCACATACAGGTCTTTGACCGTCAGGCGCGTCCCGGGTGGATATGGCACCGCTAGTGGACGAGAAGGGAAGTGTTTGACAAACGGAACAAAACGTTGTTGAGTTACGACCTCGACAGAAGCGTCGCTGTCATTTACGTCCAGTCCTGGACCCTCCTAGCTCCTGCTCCTGCTCCTGCTCCTCTCTGACCTCCTTCACATCACCACAGCCACCAGCTAACAGAGAGGGTTTAACCGTTTGGTCACTAACCTTTAATAATAACCATGACCATTAACCTGCAGCAGTGAAAGTCAACCTTCTGATTCAAGACGATGTCGAACCAGGACCACAGGTCGACCACCGGGAATCAACCTTCAGAACTCCAGACTGGGACCAGTTTCAGAACTCAATACTGACTTTGAAAAGTTAGCACGGAAAAAATGAACACTGACAGACAGTTGGGGTGTGTGTGTCTTTAAATCCTCATCTTTAAGAACAGCAATCTTTAAATACTGATCTGACTAATACGACATGTTGAGACTGGAAGCGCGCACACACACACACACACACACACACACACAGAGCCGTCATTGTTCGGAGGCTGTTTTTACTTCCACTCCGTTTCTTCAGAACAGAATCTTGTTTCGAATCTCTAACCACACGCAGCTGAACCACAGAGGGGCCGCAGACCTCAGCTTCAGCCTCATTAGCACGTGGCTTCATGTGGAGAGACTTTTTTCAGCCAGAGCTGGAACTCTTCTTGCAGCAGGTTTGTAATCAGTAACTAATCAGCTATAAAACCAGTCGACTGACTCTGTGGAGGTCAGACTGAAATCAAAAAAATCAAAAAAGTTCAATGATTGGATGTTCTATAACAACGGGGGGTCGGGGGGGTCAAACTCAAATTCACAGGTGGGCCAGATATAAAAAACTGGGATGAAGTCAATATTTATTGATAAATTGACTGTAGTTGTTGATGTTTTCTCTTCTGTCCAGATCTATGATGTAGAAATGTATCATATAGAAACAAACTGTTGTAGTTCTGTGTAAACATTCAATCTGGAAGATGAGAAATTTAATTAGAACTAAAACTTGACGGGCCAACTCTAGTTCATGTTTGATATGATCTCCTAACCCAAATATAATTAGACTGCGGTCCAGACCTGGCCCGCGGGCCTGAGTTTGTTCTACAGCGTGAACGTGTTCTGGTCAGTGTTCTTCACTAAGACTTCATCTGTGGTTTGGTGATA